ATGAGACTGGAAGAGTGTTATCTGGACACGATTACAGATAGTTCTCAATTTACAACAGTGCATTTAGTGACCGTTTGAAGTTACAACGGCACTGAGAGAAGGGACTTATGACTGTTTTTCACACTTAAAATAACTGTAGCCGCATCCCCATGGTCACATGATAAAAATTCAGATGCTCGGCAATTGACTGGTATTTATGACCATTGCAGTGTCCCAGGGTCATGTGATCACCTTTTGCGACCATCTGACAAGCAGGGTCAATGGGAAAGCCAGATATCTAACAACCGTCTTACTAATTTAACAGTTGCAGTGTTTCACTTAACAACTGTGGCAAGAAAGGCCGTACAGTGGGGGGAAATTCATTTAACAGATGTCTTTGAATTTTCTGGGCTCAATTATGGTCCTAAATCGAGGACTACCTGCATTAATGTTTCAACTGTTTCAACTCCTACCACTCAAGACGACCCTATAGAGCACTGCACACCAGAACAACTAGACACAAGAACTGTTTTTTTCCCAAACGCTATCACTCTGCTAAACAAATAATTCCCTCAACACTGTCAAACTACTTACTAAGTCTGCATTACTATTAATCTTCTCATTGTTCCTATCACCCATCTCCTCCCACTTATGACTGTATGACTGTAACCTTGTTGCCGGTATCCTTAAGATTTATATTGACTGTTTCCCTATGACTATCATTAAGTGTTGTATCTTATGATTCTTGATGAACGTATCTTTTCTTTTATGTACTCCGAGAGCGTATGCACCAAGACAAATTCCTTGTGTGTCCAATCACACTTGGCCAATAAAGAATTCTATTCTATTCTATTCTATTCTATTCTATTCTATTCTATTCTATTCTATTCTAATGTGTGTCCATGTGCATTTTCATATATCTAAACCTTGTACATTTGGGGGAAAAGAAGCAGGAATAAAACTCATTTTAGTTGATTGCAATTTCTAAAGATTTTCCCCCTCGCTTATCTACATTATTAGCCTGCACCAAATGCACTTATTCTGAGAAACTCTTATGCTGACAATTGGGTGTTTACAGGGAACAGAATCGACATCTAAAACAAAGACAACATCCAATCATGAGCTTTTAATTCAGCTGTGTTGTGCCTGAGTCTCTGTATTTACTATTTGCGGATCTCAATTCAACATTGTGCAACCACAAAATTCAAATCACATGTTTTGTAATGAGTCTTTCTTGGAGTTGTTTGGGTAAATAGATTCCAAATAGAAAAACTTTTTATCTTTCCTTGAGCCGGTTGAGGATGCCACATAAAAAGGATGAAACGAAATGTGCAGATGAGTTCATGTGTTTCAGTCCAACACATAACTCACCGGTGTTGCTTATTTAAAAAAAAAAAAAAAAATCCAGTAGCATACAGCTCATAACTGCTCATGCAAATCTTATTCTTTGTTCTGAAACTCATTTTGTCAATATTGAATTGTACACATGGTTACACAAATAATTTTTGAAATTTTAATAATCCTAAACTGAAGAATTTAGTTTAAAATTTAGTTTAAAGTGGAATGAACTGCCCCCGGAAATACGTAAGATCTCCGACCTCCGGGTGTTTCGCTGCGCACTGAAGACCCTGTTGTTCCGCCAGGCCGGGCTATCAACATAACAATTTTAAATTGGGGTATTTTAAATTTTTGGGATTTTAATTGGAGCCTAATTATTTAATGATTTTAAATTTTAATCGTTGTTTTGTTCTGTGTTTTTAAATAGGCTGTACACCGCCCTGAGTCCTTCGGGAGAAGGGCGGTATAGAAATAAAATTATTATTATTATTATTTATTGGTTAATCTTTAGTGAGATTCACAGCCTTTGAGGCTGGTTAATAGCTCAGCAGCTCGAGTCCTAACCAAGGACCTAGGAACTGTTAAGGTAATAATAATAATAATAATAATAACAATAATAATAATAATAATAATAATTATTATTATTATTATTATTATTATTATCATCATCATCATCATCATGATTATTATTATTATTATTATTATTATTATTATTATTATTATTATTATTAAAATAAAAGAAACTGAAGGCCCCAAAAGTCTTGAGCTAAATGGAAAGATACTCAGACTTCCTGAACCTGGTATCTTCTCAATGTTAGGATTGCCGTTCCTAAAATTTCTAGCCAGCTAAGGCGTGTTATTAGCTAAGAATTTGTCGTAGTTTTCTTGGCACACCTGAATGGTTCCAAATCAAGGAAACCATCTTGGAAAGAAATTCCAGACTGGGGAGTGGAAGAGCAGATAGCTAACACACTTCATTCTCAAAAACTGATATAGTATAGCAATTCTGGAGCCTCTCCATTGTCCTTACTTTTTTTGTTGAAGCAGGGACTGGTCTTGATTTAGTTAAAACTGAATTTGAAATATTTCTGGTTCATATCTCTCATCAATTAGATAATCATTCAGCTGCAGTTAAATAATCTAACCTTTTCCATGTATTTTGGGCTGCACCTCTGTTAAGATTTTGCCAGAATCATACACAACATCAAGCATCTTAAGAAAATTCTAAGAAACATGCGCCATGTTAGCATTGCTGGCCCCTTTAATTAAATGTATAGAAAGTTGATTAACAGTTTCACTGCAGGTACTAGAAACCACTTGTGGGATATCCCACAAGTACAGAGAATTTGGTTAAATTTGTTCGCACCTTTCTGTTAATTTCATAGCCTAAAAACAGTTTGAAGTTTCCTGTGTTTGGTCCATTGTTCAAAAAAAGTGCAATGCATTCAATGAAGAGCCTGTAGTACAATGGACTAAAGCACTGTTATTAACATCTGCTGCTTGCAATTACTGCAAGTTCAAATCTCACCAGCCTTCCATCCTTTCAAAGGTAGGTGAAATGAGGACCCAGTTTGTGGGGGCAATAAGCTGACTTTGTATAAATATACAAAAGTATGAAGGCTATTGCTTAACGCATTGTAAGCCGCCCTGAGTCTCCGGAGAAGGGCGGCATATAAATTAAAGCAAAAAAAAAAGTTAAAATATTTTGCTTTATTCTCTATTAATATGGGATAAATATGGACTACACAATCAATATGGATGGAAACTTTATCAAGGAGAGATCCAACCTGGAACTAAAGAGAACTTCCTTGACGGTAAGAACAATTAATCAATGGAACAAGCTTGCCTCCAGAAATTGTGGATGCTCCCAACGCTGGAGGTTTTTTAGAAAGAGATTGGACAACCATTTGTATGAAATGGTATAGGCCTCCTGCTTGAGCAGGGGTTGGACTAGAAGACCTCCAGGGTCCCTTCCAACTGTTACTTTGTTAAATCTGTTATATCAGGGGTGTCAAAATCAAGATCGGGAAGCCAGATTCGGCCCATGGGGTGCTTAGATCTGGCCTGCGGGGGGGGGGGCTGGAAACGGACCACGGTGCCTCTACCAGTGAAAATGGAGGTGCCCTCCCGAGCCCCATTTTGGCTGGCAGAGGGTTGCAGGAAGCCGTCGGAGTCAAAAACGGAGCTCGAGAGCCTGTTTTCACTGGCAGAGCACTCGGGTTAACCACAGGCAACCCCAACACAAGCGATGAAGTTTGGCACCCCTGTGTTATATGCTTAAATCAGTGTATAACATCCAACTAAAGAGATAAGCAGCTGAAGCGGTTTATATTCCTCAATAGACGTGGTAGGTTTGCCAACCTACCCCAGCTGAAGGGAGTTTGAAGATAACTTTTGCTGTAACACACTGTCTTTTGCCTCGCTTGCTTCAAGAGATGGGTGAGCTCTGTGCTTGGACAGCGAGCTGGTTCAAGGCCCCTTGAAAGATGTGGAGTGGGGGGAGTTAGCGCAGGTCAGAATAGAGAATCTTGTAGCAATTTTTGTTCCTGGTTTCCCCTCCGCTATTGGCTTGAGTTGCTCATCCCATTTATCATCTTCCTTCCTTTATACAACCTTTAAGCTCAATAGGCACTAAGTCTGAAAATACTCTTACCCTTCTGTTTGAGGCTGCGGTTTTTCTACACTGCAGCAGTGTTATATGATATAGAGACAGTTTGCTCAATCAGATGTTTACAACCCCAGCTTAATAAACCGTGAGTTATTAAATGTAAATTGTTAATGTCTAAAGCAAGTCACTGCTCTGTGAAGCATTTTGGATACTGAGACACAATTACGATAACAACATCAGCCCAAAGAGCCGAGAGTCACTATTTATAGAGGGTATAACTAATGTATAATGTCTTTATTTATCTGAACAGTATGCTTTCATAGTTAAGGCACTTGCAGTTTGACCCTCTGCTGATTTTTCAGCTTAAATCTTACTTTTCTTCCATCTGTTTTTTTATGAAGGAAATCTGTACAACTATAGATAGCTACAGGGCATGTTGAGACAAACGTTGAAGCATTTGTTTCTTAACTTCATAAATGAATGGGGGCTCATTCAGATCAGTGGTGGGTTTCTACCGGTTCTACCCGGTTTGGGTGAATTGGTAGCGGCGGGGGCGGGAGGCTCCACCCACCCACCCGGATGTCATCATGGACACTCTGCGCGTGCGCAGAAGGTTCTGTGCATGTGCAGACATGGCGCATGCGCTCACATTTGCGAATCAGTAGTAAAGATAAGTGAATCTCACTACTGATTCAGATCCCTGTCTATATAAAGCAAAGGTGGGGAATAATGGCCTCCCAGAATTCCTGAGCTAGTCACAGTATTTTCCTTTAATCTAACTCTCCCTCCCTCTCCCTCTCCCTCCCCACCCTCTTCCCCCTCCCTCTGAGAAGGAGACAGAGAGAGAGAATGAATAGTTTTTTAGAAGCATCTATTCTTCATTGTTTTCTTTCTTTCACTAAACCCTATATTCCATTGTTGCTTCCACTCTTGCTGACTCATAGCTGGCTTCCAAAAGTTGAAATTGCTCATTCAAGGTCCATCTTTATATTTTATAAATTTTGTTTGTTTGCTTTTTGGTTTAACAATACCCTTTTGAACTAATACCTTCAAGGAAAACTAAAGAACATGACTCAAGCTGGGTCAGACTTTTATTTGTTTGAAAGATACCATAAACATTTATTTTATTTTTTTAACTTTCTGGCTCCGCTTGTGATGATGATGATTTAAGCTGGCAAACAATTTGGTTGCAACTGCTTATTTTGATTCTGCCCACTGATGATAAACCATCTCATTTAAGAATAGGTTCAGATAAAGGCTGTTTTCAAACCGTGAGGATAGAGAATCTTTTCTTCTGAGCTTGTTCAGCCCTGAGACTTCGTTGCCCTCCCGGAGAAGTAACCAAGAGCAGCGTCATTTCCTTCAAAATTTAACTCTGTTGATAACAGAGGCTTTTTTTATTGAGAAGTCCTTGCTGTTGTGCATTCTTGACATTCCTGTTCCTCTTGCAACAAAGCACAAAAAAATACATGAAACATGAGGTTCTCAAGCTTATCGTATTAAGACATCACAATCCAATAAAAATCCATTAACCCTGAATTCTTGCACTCTGGGTGGTATTGTTTTCAGTGCCAGGTATGTAACATAGGCTTTTCTAGTGCCTTCTGGTGCCATCTCATAACTTTGGGTGAGAAAAAGGAAGTTCTGATAGCTTGGAAATTTTAATAGCTTGGTAAACCCATGATTATAAAGTTAAGGCTGGACTACTAGTATAGCATGGTTGACATTCCAGAATTTGCATATTTGTATATCTGTATTTCCAAGAGTTCAGCGCTACGGTATATTTAGAAGTAGAATTTGGTATATTTACCGTAGAATTTGCCTTATTCTTGTTATAAACTGTTCAGAGAGCCTCTTATCCACTCTGAGTTTCGTTCCGAGTGTTGGCTGCTTAACCACCTGAATGTCTTGATGTTCTGAAGTTGCTCAAACTTGTTTTGGACCTAATTAGAAGTCCTCCACCTGAGGTTGTCAAAATTTGACAAATCAGCACTTCATAATGTTTGAAAAACACTAACCATGGTGGGTTTTTTTTTTTTTTTAGGCACACGCTTAGCTACTTGCTGATGCTTTCGTTTTTCATGACAGACTTTAATGGCTGGTGTTTGTCATTAAAATAAAATATGTAGCTTTAAAAATAAACTTCTGTCTATCTAACAAGTTTACAGAACTTGTTCTGGTGGCTATCTATTCTTGGTTTGACCCCTTCCTTTCCCCTCCCCATGCTGTCAGCTACTTTTTTTTTTTTCAATGAAACAAACAGGAGATGCTCTACATTTTTCAATAATATAGAGAAACTAGACTCTAAGCTTGTTTTCTGGTATTTAGAAAAGAGGGTCAGTTACCTTTTGTTGTCCTGCAGGGGGGATTCTAAAGAATTAATGAGGTGAAACTAGCAAAGCACTTTGGAAATGCAAAATGTTATGTAGGATCAACAGTAATTATAAGTAGGGCCACTTTTATCTTCTTGTCACCTCAGTTTTCATGACTGTCTGTTGACTGACACATAGGTTGACAGTTAAGAAAGATGGCTGCCTCCCTAATCAGAGACATTCGGAGATGCCGGTTTTAATTACAGCCCACGTTTGAAATGCAGGTTGGTGTTTTTTGATGTGGAGCAAAGAGCTTTGTGGTTTATCAGTACAGAGGCTGATTGAGCAGGAATAAAAAGGGACCTGATTTTTCACTTATGCATCCTGTCCCCTCCACAGTTAAAACAGGGTTCAGCAGCTGAATAGGTTTTGTATCAGTGATATTAAAAATTTAAGCTATGGGAGCTGCATGTTCTTGTTCTCTGACATTTGAAGGTTTCTGTTGTTTTAAAAAGACAGTCTTTTAGCCAATCTATAATGGAAGGAATTGTTCAATCGCTAAGTCATGTCCAACTCTTTGTTGACCCCATAGACCAGGGGTATCAAACTCAATTTCATTGAGGGCCGCATCAGGGTTGTATTTGACCTTGGGGGGGCCGAGGTGGGCGTGGCCAGCTCGATACTATGCATGTCGAGGGCATCTGTGGTGGCCAAGTGCTAAGGCAGGATTTCCCTCAGACCCTCTCTCACTCTCATTATAATCTCCCTTCCTTCCTTCCTTCCTTCCTTCCTTCCTTCCTTCCTTCCTTCCTTTTCTTCTTTTTACTTCCCTCTTCATTCCCCTTTCTTCATCCTTCCCTCTTTCCTTATTTTTCCTTCCTTGCTTGCTCTCTTCTCATTTTTTTGGAGCCCAAGAATATTAAATTTGTCACCGCTTCCATTTCTCCCCATTCTATTTGCCAGGAAGTGTTGAGACTGGATGCCATGACCTTAGGGTTGGGGTTTTTTTAAAATAAAATGTTAAGTTCCAAGCCAATTTTTGCACTCTCCTCTTTCATCCTCAGCAAGAGGCTCTTTAGTTCCTCTTCATTTTCTGCCATTAGAGGGTATCATCTACGTATCTAGGGTTATTGATATTTCTCCTAAACAATCTTAATCCCAGTTTGTGATTCGTACAGCCTAGCATTTTGTGTGAAAATGGAAGAAGAGGGGCATTAAAAAAACAACAACCAGAGACACCTATGAGAATAATTTGAAATGTTAGACCAGCTGTTTTGGTCCAAAGGAGTACTGTAATTTCCTTATTTAAACTGCTTAAGACTTGAAACAATGCCTCTTGGCAATAGATCTTAGGCAGTGTGGAGTTGAAAAGCCGAAGTGATTTCAAAATATCCCATGCTCTTGGTTGATTCTTTCCTATTTTCTGCTTTTGAAGAGCAAAAAAGAAACTGATGCAGTGTGATGAATGTGGCTGCATGTTATCAGTGGTTGGCTATTTTTTTTTTCATAAGCACTCCCTCTGTTGTGAAAATGGGTCTTCCATTTGGCAAAGAAAAATCACTTGTTTTTCCTTAATGGATGTTTTATTTCCTTTTTAGGTGCTCTTTCCAGCTCTTGCAACATACACCTCTTCCTTATTCTATGTGAAATCAGAGCTGCCCGTTCTTTAGCTTGAGTTGGCTTCAGAGGTGGGTTTCAGCAGGTTCTGGTCAGTTCTGGAGAACCGGTAGTGGAAATTTTGAGTAGTTCAGAGAACCGTTAGTAAAAATTCTGACTGACACCACCCCCATCTATTCTCTGCCTCCCGGGTCCCAGCTGATCGGGAGGAAATGGGGACTTTGCTGTAACCTTCCCCTGGAGGGGTATGGAATGGAGATTTAACAGTATCTTTCCCTTGCCACACCCCCCAAGGCACGCCCACCAAGCTACGCCCACAGGACCGGTAGTAAAAATTTTTGAAACCCACCACTGGTTGGTCTTCATAAGCATCAGGCTGTTCTCAAGAACCTAGAATTTTGTAACGTATCGCTGTTATATATGTGCAGATCCAAGCAGGGTGGCTTTTGCACTTGACAGATGGAAATTTTGTCAATGAACAGATTTTTTTGAAGTGCCATCAAAGGTTTTTTGGGTAAGGGTTTTCTTGTAGACATTTCATTACCCAAACTAGGTAACATCATTGGTTTTAAGATTCTTTGTAGTCCCCAGTGCAAGCATTAAAAAGGCACAACCCCGATTCCTTTCTCAGACCAGAGAATGTCTGCCAGCATTTGCTGAGATGCTATAAAATATGACACATGAATTATTCTAGCAAAAGTGCAGTTCATATCTGCTTTTTCCTTAAATATTGTATTCAAATCAAATAAAAATTGCCTCAGAAAAACGTTTAGGGCCTAGATAGGACATTTATATCCCCATATATCTGAAGGAAGGAGATCATATAAATAGGTTGCTTAAAATTGTGTCTGTGACCAGATATGGTCACTCATTTGCACAACCACTATGCTGCTTAGGTGCAGGAACATGTATATTTAGTCTTGTAATGACAACTGTGATTCAGGAATTTAACAGATACTCTAACTTGGTAAGAGGTTATTGACTGCCTATATAAAGGAAAAGGCTTCCTCCGTCCAGTTGTCAGGTTGTCTGAAGACATTTCCATGATCATAACTATGCACCAAGATGCACGGAATGCTGTTACCTTCAAATCAAAATGGTACCTATTCATCTACTCACATTTGAATGCTTTCAAACTGCTAGATGAGCAAGAGCTGAGGCAAGAACGGGAATTCACCCCATCATGCATTGCTTAGGTCTTGAACCAGGGCTGTCAGCTTTCCAGTTGAAAAACTCAGCATCTTTAACTGCATCATGCCCCTTAATATATTATAGACATTCATGGATATAGATTCCAAGAATGTATTGTACATCACTGTTTATCTAGCAGATCTGTTTTCCTTTTTCCATAAAATTAGAAATTGCCTTCAAGGTTATTGAAGATGTGGAAGGACTTTATGAGTCAAGCATTTTGTTGAAGTTTTGGAAAAGGATGTGGCACTCAAACTATGTTTGGAAAGTTTTGTCTAGTAGAATAATAATCAACAAATATACTCCCCAATATATAGTGCCTAAACAATATCGAAATAATATGCTTCAATTTGCAGGGAGAATAAATGACTGTGCAATAGTTAGCATTTTTCTTCATATGAGAGCATACAAACAATTTCAGTCACCTTTGAGGGAAAGACCAACATAATTAGAAAGCAGTAAATATGTTGGAATTCCTAGTGTCATCAAAAGGTACTTGACAGCAATGTGTTGAGTGATTACAAAAATATGTTGGAATAACAGACTCTGTGAGATAGGGATATAACAACTTTTTTGGTACCATTTAAATGCTGTGTGTATAGCTTCTACTTGCATCTGAAAGTGCATTGAATGTTTTATACCATGGATTTGAACATAAGAGTAAAATAAGGTTGATTTTATACATTTGTATCTCAGAATAGCCTTGGATGTTTCTTTTCTTGTTTTCTTTTTTTTTTACAAGAGAATTTATATTATAAAATCCCAGATGGTTAACTTAATGGTGCCAACAGTATTCTGTGAACCTGCTATCTTTTTGAGAGCACTCAATAATTGTAGCATTAACCAAGGAAAGGAAAAAATATGTATTTTATCATACTAGAATATTTTTACAATGACACCTTTTGGTTCTTAGGATGCTTGTGGATCTTAGTATTGCATCACTGCCTCAGTGCAAATGTTAATGGCTGGAAACTTAACAGATGTAGATTTTTGCCATCCTACAGAATCGAGGTTGTTCCTCAGATTTTTAGTCTACACAATTCTACGTATTAAAAGAACAGTTGCAAAAAGAAAAAAGACAAAGCCATCCATAAAAGTATTTCTGAAGAAAGTCGGTTTTATACTAGATGATGGGAGATAAATAAAAGTTTGTGGGACAAAACTAATGAACTTTCTGCTGATCTACACAAGCCTTATTAATGAATAATGCTGAAATAGACTTTAGAATGTTCCTCCTGAGCAGCTAGGAAAAACCAGTTATTACCTAACTACTCATGAAAGAACATTATCTCTCAAGTCAAAGAACTGAAATCTCAGGATATGGTTTGATGTTGTTTTAATCAAGGGCTTTACATTCAACAAAAGCATGCATCCTTAGTAATTCAGGCAGAAGCGAAAGTTGGCTTAGTAGCACCCACTACTGATAGCTGATTAAAGGGGATAAGACCACAGTTCTAGCTAATCCTTATCTGAGAAATTTACTCCGTTAGTTGCAACAAACATGCCCATCGGAAGCACAGCTAAGCATCTTACATTGTTAGATTATTTGAAGGGGGGGTGCTTCTGTGGGAATCCTCTTTTAGAAATCAGTTGTAAGTAATAAATAGCCTTTTCGAGCTAGGCAGTGTTGAAAAAATGGATGGAGAACTTTCATTGTTCAGATGTCGAACTGGTTGAAGATTGTTGAAGAAAATAGACCTTAGTTGTAAATTTTTTTATTTTTTTTTTAAATTTGATTTATATGCCGCCCTTCTCCAGAGACTCAGGGCAGCTTACAATGCGTTAAGCAATAGCCTTCATTCTTTTGTATATTTTATACAAAGTCAGCTTATTGCCCCCACAAACTGGGTCCTCATTTCACCTACCTTAGAAAGGATGGAAGGCTGAGTCAACCTTGAGCCTTGGAGAGATTAGAACCAGCAGAAATTGCAGGCAGCTGTGTTAATAACAGGGTGCACTAAACCACTGTACTATCAAGGCTCTTAATTAATATTATTAATTAATATCAAGGTAATTAAGCAACGTGTGTGTGTGTGTGTGTATGTATGTGTATGTATATATGAATAGTAATATTAGTAAACCTTATCAAGGTATCATTAATCATCTATTAGAATACAAAAATTGCAGTATATATTCAAGTTAAAGATATTTGCAAAGGAAAAAAAATCCGTTCAGTTTTAATTTGGCATTCAAATGAAGTAGAGTTGTAGCCAAATACAGAGTCACTAGATGACATGTTTGATTTCATTAAGTGACAGCCCTGTTTTTCTGGCTTAAAGATTGTGGAACTTATTCAATTTATATAGTTCAGCAATATCAATAGCACTTAGACTTATATACTGCTT